TCATTGCATAGCCACGTTCACTGCATAGCCACGTTCATTGCATAGCCACGTTCATTGCATAGCCACGTTCATTGCATAGCAACGTTTATTGCATAGCCACGTTCATTGCATAGCCACGTTCATTGCATAGCCACGTTTATTGCATAGCCACGTTCATTGCATAGCCACGTTCATTGCATAGCCACGTTCATTGCATAGCCACGTTCATTGCATAGCCACGTTCATTGCATAGCCACGTTCATTGCATAGCCACGTTCATTGCAGAGCCACGTTCATTGCATAGCCACGTTCATTGCATAGACACGTTCATTGCATAGCCACGTTCATTGCATAGCCACGTTCATTGCATAGCCACGTTCATTGCATAGCCACGTTCATTGCATAGCCACGTTCATTGCATAGCCACGTGATTGCATAGCCACGTTCATTGCATAGCCACGTTCATTGCATAGCCACGTCCATTGCAGAGCCACGTTCATTGCAGAGCCACGTTCAGTGCATAGCCACGTTCATTGCATAGCCACGTTCATTGCATAGCCACGTTCATTGCATAGCCACGTTCATTGCAGAGCCACGTTCATTGCATAGCCACGTTCATTGCATAGCCACGTTCATTGCATAGCCACGTTCATTGCATAGCCACGTTCATTGCATAGCCACGTGCATTGCATAGCCACGTTCATTGCATAGCCACGTTCATTGCATAGCCACGTTCATTGCATAGCCACGTTCATTGCATAGCCACGTTCATTGCATAGCCACGTTCAGTGCATAGCCACGTTCATTGCATAGCCACGTTCAGTGCATAGCCACGTTCATTGCATAGCCACGTTCATTGCATAGCCACGTTCATTGCATAGCCACGTTCAGTGCATAGCCACGTTCATTGCATAGCCACGTTCATTGCATAGCCACGTTCATTGCATAGCCACGTTCATTGCATAGCCACGTTCATTGCATAGCCACGTTCATTGCATAGCCACGTTCATTGCATAGACACGTTTATTGCATAGCCACGTTCATTGCATAGCCACGTTCATTGCATAGCCACGTTCATTGCATAGCCACGTTCATTGCATAGCCACGTTCATTGCATAGCCACGTTCATTGCATAGCCACGTTCATTGCATAGCCACGTTCATTGCATAGCCACGTTCATTGCATAGCCAAGTTCATTGCATAGCCACGTTCATTGCATATCCACGTTCATTGCATAGCCACGTTCATTGCAGAGCCACGTTCAGTGCATAGCCACGTTCATTGCATAGCCACGTTCATTGCATAGCCACGTTCATTGCATAGCCACGTTCATTGCAGAGCCACGTTCATTGCATAGCCACGTTCATTGCATAGCCACGTTCATTGCATAGCCACGTTCATTGCATAGCCACGTTCATTGCATAGCCACGTTCATTGCATAGCCACGTTCATTGCATAGCCACGTTCATTGCATAGCCACGTTCATTGCATAGCCACGTTCATTGCATAGCCACGTTCATTGCATAGCCACGTTCATTGCAGAGCCACGTTCATTGCAGAGCCACGTTCAGTGCATAGCCACGTTCATTGCATAGCCACGTTCATTGCATAGCCACGTTCATTGCATAGCCACGTTCATTGCAGAGCCACGTTCATTGCATAGCCACGTTCATTGCATAGCCACGTTCATTGCATAGCCACGTTCATTGCATAGCCTAGTTCATTGCATAGCCACGTTCATTGCAAAGCCACGTTCATTGCATAGCCACGTTCATTGCATAGCCACGTTCATTGCATAGCCACGTTCATTGCATAGCCACGTTCAGTGCATAGCCACGTTCATTGCATAGCCACGTTCAGTGCATAGCCACGTTCATTGCATAGCCACGTTCATTGCATAGCCACGTTCATTGCATAGCCACGTTCAGTGCATAGCCACGTTCATTGCATAGCCACGTTCATTGCATAGCCACGTTCATTGCATAGCCACGTTCATTGCATAGCCACGTTCATTGCATAGCCACGTTCATTGCATAGCCACGTTCATTGCATAGACACGTTCATTGCATAGCCACGTTCATTGCATAGCCACGTTCATTGCATAGCCACGTTCATTGCATAGCCACGTTCATTGCATAGCCACGTTCATTGCATAGCCACGTTCATTGCATAGCCACGTTCATTGCATAGCCACGTTCTTTGCATAGCCACGTTCATTGCATAGCCACGATCATTGCATAGCCACGTTCATTGCATAGCCACGTTCATTGCATAGCCACGTTCAGTGCATAGCCACGTTCATTGCATAGCCACGTTCAGTGCATAGCCACGTTCATTGCATAGCCACGTTCAGTGCATAGCCACGTTCATTGCATAGCCACGTTCATTGCATAGCCACGTTCATTGCATAGCCACGTTCAGTGCATAGCCACGTTCATTGCGTAGCCACGTTCAGTGGATAGCCACGTTCATTGCATAGCCACGTTCATTGCATAGCCACGTTCATTGCATAGCCACGTTC